CAGCAAGGGACGGGGCCGCCCTGGCCTTCCCCCCGCCCCGGCGCCGCCGCCGCCGTTTCCCCGCACCTCGCACACTGCCTGCCCGCCGCCATCTTTGCTTCCCTCTCACGTGACTCGCCGCGCGGCGCCGTGTTCCCCCCCTCCCCGCCGTCACGTGGTCGGGCCGCCACTCCGCCTCCGGGCCTCACCCGCCGGTCGGGTCATGTGACAGGCGGCAGTGCCAAGATGGCGGCGTCCTGTGAGGTGGGTGCGCGCTTGGCTCCCGGGCTGCGGGGGGAAAGGCCACTGGTCCTCGGCGGGACCCGGCGCTCACCCGGGCAGCGGCTCCGACGCCTTCAGGGCGCTTGTTGCGGCCCGTTCGCCTCAGCTTCCCGGTAGCGAAGGCTGGGTTGCGGGGTGCCGCGGCTGAGGGGGAGAGGAGGTGGAGGGCGGCGAGGAAGGACAGGGCAACGGGAGCCCGCAGCGCTGCGGTGGACACAGGGAAGAGAGGGAGGAGGCAGGTGCTGCAGCGAGGCGAGGGCTACCGGGCGTCTGGGAGCACGTCAGGGGGAAAGCTTCCCCACCCAGAGCTGCTGGGATGCAGATCGCGAAACGGGCAGAAGACGCTTAGTCCGGCTTGAAAGTGGGGGCGATGAGTCCCGTTTGATGTGAGAGAGCGGGAGTGTTAAAAGAGCTTCGCCTTACCTCAAAAGGGTAGAGGAGAGAATGGCAGCAGGCACAAGTAAATAATTCAGCAGTGAAATACATCGTGTTGCAAATTCACAGGTCAGTGGCTTTCAAAGCTGCTGCATTACAGTAAGACACCAGTGTTTCATAGGGTGAAATTCTTGTTTTATAGCCCAGTTGGCAGGCTGCCTGCTGGGGGAAGCTGTCATGTGTCATTACTGATGCAAGAGCTGGGTTGCAACCTTAAAGTTGCCAGACTGAGTGGGAGGCCTTTTTCAGTCTTTGACTAGCCTGTCGTATTTACCCTGCCTCTTCCCAAATAAGCTTTAAACTTCCACTTCTGCCCTCAGAAACAATGAGTGGGACCCCAAACCAATTATTGAGGTAGACATTGCCCATGCCAGTTCTGTTTTACTGACTATATGATTAATTTTTAAACAGAATAGAAGAATTAAGTGTGATGGCAAAAAGGTTACACTTGGCCCAATCCAGCTGTATAGGAACAGTAAATGTAATGAACTTATTTGGCAATCAAGTATTTCAGGCTATATGGATAAGGATGCCAATAAACAATCTATTAATAATTAGAGTTTTCAGTACAAAGTCATAAATAACTAAATGCTCCAGACCCACAGTATAAAGGAGTTTAATGGTACAAACCTTAATAATTACCCAGTAATATTACTACTAAGATCTTGATCAGCTGTATAATCTGGTGACACTATTCAACACTGGATGAAAATCCAAACCAGAACTTTAAATAAATGTCTAGGCTTCCATGAGAGGGCTAATTAGATATTAATAATGAGACTAGGAAGCAGAATTTGATAAGAGTTTATTGCTGTCAGCTTAGGAGTGGGCCAGAGAGGATGAAGCAATCCAAAGGTTCAGTTCAAGCTACCTTATCCATCAGGGACACAGGCAACTGGATCAGCTGTTCTGTTGTTAACAGAAATACAGAAACATACCTTAAAGGAACCCCAAAGAGATGCCAGTATAATGGCATACGTAGGTATGGCTAAGGCATAATATCACATTATGGATAAGGAGAATTGAAGGTTGCCAGAAAGCAATAAACATTGGTGAGAATTACACTATGTTTCAAATGCCCATAATACATTGAAGAAGATAAGATATGATTTAACTTACAGAGTCATTGTGTGTATTGCTGATTATCTCAACTATTCATTTTATAGTCCAAAAGTTTAAGGACAGCTTAGTTTGCAATGCAGCTGTCATTGGCTGCAAGCCTTGATTCAGAGTAGGTAAAGTGCTATAAATGCAGTAAGTGTTAGTAAGACAAGGGGATATAGAAAACAATGACAGGTTTGGATTACGATCAAGAATATCTTACAAGGTTTACTTACTCTTGAAGAATTTGAGGGAAATAGTGCATACCAGAGGTTAAACAAATCACTTATGATGCATTTTGGGGATAAGACTTGCCAATATTTGTTAACATTAAAATATTTCACTTATTTATACAGATGTAGAGTCTGTGTAAAATAGGAGTGCAGGGTTCTTACCTGGAAAATGGGAATCAAGATAGCCAACAGCGAGAAGCAGCTGTGCCATGGGTTAAAGAGAAGCGAAGCCATTACCTTTCTTTAAAAGTAAGGAAAAATAAATCAGACTCATTTACTCACATATGAAGCTGTATAATAGTTAAATCATATGGCTACAACACATCCTAAACAGAGTATTACCAATATGTCAAGATGGACTAGAAGCATATGTCAGAAGAGATATCTTTGTAACAAATATAACCCAGCAGTGCTGTAGAAGCAAAACAACTTAAGCAGCTTAATACTCAGGGTGTGATGAACATCCTGTCATAGCTACAGGCAAGACGAAGTCTGTTCATTTCATTTTCTGTGCTCAGGACTCCAACTTAGCTTATCTTGACAGTTCTGGTAATAGATCAAAATTACATAAAGTATGCCATTTGACAATTTTATTTTTTTTTAATGACTGTGATGTTTTCTTTTCTACTTCTCCTGTAAATACTATGTAGCATTATAAAATACCTGCTGCAGTAGCAGAAGTATTCAATCATAACACCAGTAACAGAAGGGGAGAGAGTATTGGACGGGGTTTTGCATAGCAGTGGGAAGAGAAATATTAATAAAAGGAGGAAGATTCTGTAAAAATACAGTGAAAGCTGCATACCAAATTAGGTTCTAAAATTACCATTAAACTTTTAAATTAACTATTTCAAACTCACACCATCACAATGAAGTGTTCAAGGAATATTTATGGATTGTTTGCTTCACATTTCAATTCAAAGACAGTGCAACAGAAATATTTAAAACCGTATCTGAATACCCCCAGTATCCAGTGGTTCATTTCTGTCACTGCAGGCTGACTTCTGTAATTCTTGGAGGGGAATAACAGTTTGGGCTGATCTGTTACCTCATTGGTTTTATTTTTTTTATTCACCTGTATGTTGTCATTAACAATTAGCACATAACTATCAGTTTAAATTAAGCTTAAGAAAAAAAACAGCTGTGTGAAAGCTTCAGATTTTCTGGTAGTTGTTGCTTCAATTGTTTGGCTGTTTTTTTTCTTTTTAATAGCAATTGCAGTAGCATGAGAGGGAATTCTTCCTAATGGACAACTACTGAGCGCATCGCGACTCCTGTGACAGGTTTTGAAAGCTTGAGCCACGTCGGACTGGAATCATGTTAAACAAGCCAGTGCTGGCAGAATCCCTGATCGTGTTCATCATCGTTCTCCTCGTGCACGCAGTGGTGTGGGACCGGTATTCCTGGTGCGCTGTCGCTCTCGCCGTCCAGGCTTTTTATGTCCAATTCAAATGGGACCGGCTGCTTCAGCTGGGTGGGGCCGTATTCCAGTTCCGTACAGCAGCGAACAGCGGCCTCCTGCCAGCGAGCATGGTCATCCCCTTGTTGGGGATAGTGATGAAGGAGAGGTGCAAGTCCGCTGGCATTGTGTACTTTGAACGTTTTGGCATAGTTGTAGCTTCCACTGGCATGCTGGTTGCTCTCTTTCTGTCTGTGATAGCAGTTGGTGTCACAAAACCTGTGCCAACCAACACTTGCATACTTACTGGTGTGGCTGGCAGTATAATTATCTATACTATGAAGCACTCTTTGACTGTTTCAGAAGTGATAGAGGTCCTAGAAGTGCTGCTAATTTTTGTCTACCTCAGTATGATCTTGCTGTACTTGTTGCCTCGATGTTTTACTCCTGGAGAAGCATTGCTAGTTCTCGGAGGTGTAAGTTTTGTTCTCAATCAGCTCATTAAACGCTCACTGAACGTAATCGAGGGCAGAGGTGATCCCATAGACTTCTTCCTTCTGGTGGCAGTTGTTGGAGTTGTTCTTCTTGGGCTTTTTTTCACTGTGCTCTTCATTTTCATGGATTCGGGTACGTGGATCTCCTCCATGTTTTTCCACATGATGACAGCAGTGCTAGGCTTAGGGGTCATCATGCCTTGGCTGTACAGACTGATCCAGAAGAACCCTTTGTTCTGGCTACTCCAGTTTCTCTTTCAGACACAGACAAGAATTTACCTTCTTGTATATTGGACCTTTTTGGCTGCTTCAGCATGTGGCATAGTTTTCTACCAGAATGCTAAGAGATCATCTGAATCTAAAAAACACCAGGCCTCAACTATAACCAGGAAATATTTCCATTTCATTGTTGTAGCCACTTATGTTCCTGGACTAATTTATGACCGCCAGCTCCTCTACGTTGCTGCAGTACTGTGTCTGGCAGTGTTTATCTTTTTAGAGTATGTTCGGTACTTCAGGATCAAACCATTTGGCCAAACCCTTAGGTATTTGCTGTCTCTCTTCTTGGATGAAAGAGACAGTGGACCTCTAATCCTGACTCATATTTATCTCCTCCTTGGCATGTCCCTCCCAGTGTGGTTATTCCCCAGATCTTGTGCTCCTAAAGGTACCTTGTCTGGGGCAGGAGCACTGGTGCCCTACTCTGGGGTACTGGCAGTAGGGGTAGGAGACACCATTGCCTCTGTTTTTGGGAGTACAATGGGGGAAATCAAATGGCCGGGAACAAAGAAGACCTTCGAAGGGACAATGACAGCTATTTTTGCTCAGATCATTGCTGTGGCTCTTATTCTGATCTTTGACAGCAGTGTGAATCTGAACTCCAGCTATGCTTGGATTCTGGCATCTGTGAGCTTAGTTTCTCTTTTGGAAGCTTACACTACCCAAATTGATAATCTGCTGTTGCCTCTCTACCTCCACATAATGTTTATGGCATAGCACTACTTCCAGGAACAGAGGTTTCTCCCTTTCTAGAGAAAAATGGTAAAAGCTGATGGACTGTAACGAGAGATCAAAGCCAATCTAAACACTGCTTTTGGTACAGCAGATAAAATTGTTAAAAACATAAATGAAAGAGCCATTTAAAATAAAGGGTTTGGTTTGGTCTTGTTTTTCCCTGTTTAAAACATCATGAGTTGGTTTATGTTCTCACAGGAACACAAACATGACTGATAGAAATAGCATTTGTGTTTAATAATCCAATTTAAGTTTCTGCTAGGTACTTGGAAGCAAAGGAAATAGAAGAGGTAAGTCAATTAGAGGGGAAAAAAAAAATAAGCAAACCTCTCAGATGTTGCCGCCTCTCTGTTGTATCAGAGCCAAAACTTGTTCTGCTGTACTGAGTCCTGCCATCTTGTGTTACTGAGCATGTGGACACCTCATTTCTGCATAAGCACCATTTAAACTGTGTTTTGTGAGGATGTGAGTGCAACTGTCCAAACAAATCCAGTCACCATCAGCTGGAGCCATCTAATGCCCTGCAGTGGCCAAACACGGCTTCAGACTCCACAGCTCTAACAGCTGAGTTTATCCAAGCTAGAAGGGTGAGATTTGAGGATGTACCAGACTGGTTATTCCAGACAGTACTAACAAGAAGGTTGCAGTTTCAGCCCTTTTAAACTCTAAATTGGAGTAATATTCTAATTGGAATAATATTCAATATAGGGGGAAAAGCTAAACAGTCACAGATTAAACTAATTATACATTAATCCTGAAAGCAGAAAAATCTGTTAAAGTCAAACTTTTCTAATACTATTACAATTTTCTACTTTTCACATTTTTCAGCTAGATGTTTAATCAAATAATTTATTAAAATGCTTCTATCAGCAAATTGAGTCAAGCAATTTAATTCTATCCCTTTAATTCAAACTATAACTACCATTTTGTGGCCAAAAAACCCACTTCATTTTTATGTATTAAAAACTCCTGTATTGACAATCTCATCAGTTTGCCAAGGGTCCATTAGAACAAAAGGGATTAGCTGTGTCCTCCCTGCCCCTTCCCTTCCCTGAGAAGTGTCCAAGCAGACTTGCATTCCACAATTCTTGTTTGAAGGATGACGTTAACTTCTGACACTTACTTTTGGGAGCAGTTTTGTGGAAGTCCAAGATACCTTACACAAAACCATCCTGCAGTCCTAGTCCCGAGACTGTGTTTGAGGAGTGGCAGTAATACCAGGGTGGAGTGAAACTAGAGCTCTGGGGCAGCAGAGCAAGACAGCGAGATTAGCCCCAGAATCTAATACTGTGTTTGTCCCTGCAACAAGCCAGGACTCAGCCAAGAGAGCATTGCCCAATTTATCCCCCCCTGAGATTTGATACTGCTTTTCCTCAGGATGTCTAAATTGTCCAGAGTTGGTTTTGGTTAACAACACAATAAGTTATCGGATACTCTCTGTAAGAAACCAAACTCGGTAATTGCGCTAGACCGAGTTTCCTTCAGGAAATCCTGCAAGTCCAATCCAGCTTCTTGCTTTTATTTATGCACTTGATGTTTTTGTACATCGCAGGTGGTAGTGCATATACTCAGAGGACAAACCATCACTGCTCAGCAGAAACGTACTATTTAAATTAACTCTTCTAATGGAAAGATACAGAAAAAGCTTTAGCTGCTTCCATCATGAGCCACAGCCTTAACCATTAACATAATAAAATAGTACTGGAGTTAAAAAAGATGAGAGAGATGAAAAGGAGAGGGGTTTTTTATTTAAGTGATAGGAGTTTGGTTGGGGTTGTTTCCATAATTTCAGCATGACTCTAAGAACTGTAATATTTTTAATCAACGCACCCAGAGATCAAACACTCCGCCACAGTTTGCTAGAATACTTAGAAGATTGATTACAAAATTAGACTTCCTGCTTCATTTTGCCCTCAATAGGTTTATGTTTAATCATTGTTATTCAAACAATAGGAGAGACACCTAAGAATAAAAGTCAGACATATTCACATGACACATTCACCTGCTTTGCTGGGATTGACACAGCCAAGTAATGCACGGGACAAGCTCTTGATTTAAACACAAGAAATCACTGAGTATCTGCAAGAAGAAATACTACTTAACTGGTCCCAGTCAAGGTGAAATGGTCTTTAATGGTCTATTATCAAAACCAAAGAAGTTTCCTTATCAAAAGGACTGGGTGACTATTCTGATACCAATAAGGCTCATGCCTGTCTAATGTAGGCTGTGTCAGGGGTCCTTGTCCTGAGAAGAGGATAAATTAATCTTGAGAGCTGATCCAGTGAAAGTTGTATTTAAAGGGAGCACGAACAAACGATCAGAAAGGAATATCGATCAACTATTCACTCCAGAAGCCAACCATTAGCTTCAAGTGTAGAGCGATGGAAAAGGCAGTTCAGGAGTTGGCTGGAGCCTAGGGAGTAAGGAAGAGGTAAAAACAAAACTTCAGAGGCTATTCCAGCTCCGCCAGTGTGACATCAATCCTACCATCAGAAGCTGGGTGACAGGCAGGACCACCAATAAGAGTTTGTCCTGGCTGCTACAATGAGAAGGCTCTAGTTTCCTTAGCTGCTTGTTAGGATGGCAACCTTACCAGTTCTCTTTGCTCCAGCTGGTGTCTTTGGCTTCCATCACGTGGAAGGTGAACACATGGCGAGAAGACTCCGAGCTGTTCAGCTCACTCTTATGGACGACTTCCCCGTGGATGAGAATGAGTCCACCTGTTTGAGAGAAACATTCGTATCGCTTTGTTCAAATTGTGAGTGCTAGATTTAAAATATAAGGGAAGTTGAAAGTTAAAATACTATTTTAGCACTCTTTTTTTCCTCCTTGAGCTGTAAAGCAGACTTGTTTGGGGGTTGTTTTTACCTTTACTTATAGGCAGAGGTATGAACTGGCTGTCGTCGTAGCATGGCTCTGACCCTACAAACTCTACACATGTTGAGGAACCTGAAGGTGTACGGACCATTCTCCGGGTAATTCCACCTGCAAATGCACAGAACATACACACACACACACACACACACACACACACACACACACACACAAAACAAACATCTAGCTACGTTCTGCACTGCAGAGGAACAATGTCTGTGATTTCTCTTGGCAATGATAGGAACTTTATTATTATATTTAATTTTTTCCTTAGTAATTTGGGTAGCTTTCTATGATAAGCAAATATTTAGGATTTTCCAGCTGTGGCAGAAACAGATAACCGCTTTTTGTTTGCCTTTGCCTTTCTGTGCATTGCAACCTAGCCCTTTAGGAAGGCAAATAGTCATACACTTACGCAAAGCCAACCTTTGGTCCATTTCTCTTTTCCATAAGAGCATAAATTACAATTGGAGTGCAGCTGGCTCCAGAATTCATGAGGGATGAGTGCCTTCAAACCTCAAGAGCACTATGATTACACATCACTGAACAAATGCTTAGGGGAGCAACAGTTTAAAGCTGATTAGTGTGCCCTAGAGGTAGTGAGAAACAGAAAACTCTGCTGGTAATGCAGTAGTGGTTACACACACAGAGCAACTACAATCGGTCACAACAACCATCTCATGAGTCTGCACTCATCTGGCTTTGTCTGTGCGTTTCCCTGGGACACTGACAGTTCTCCAGTGGCTTGGATGGTGTCCAAGCGATCCTTGCATAGGCTTGGAGGCTTTCCTTGTTGACAGAGTGTATGTGTGTGTGTGTGTGTGTGTGAAAAGGAAAGATTCAGGATCAGTTAACGGACCTCCCCTTAACAGGCTCTGAAGTAAATAAAAATTCAGGAGGACTGGACTTCCTTGCCCCAGTACCCTGGATTCTTTTTTTCTAGGCTAGATATCAACTCAAAACTAGACACAGTGTCAGTCATGTATACTACCTATTTTTTATTAAAACGTATTGGGATCATGCGATGGACTGGTAGCCAAGAGCAAAATGAAACAGTCAATAACCTGCTGAAAAATGTAGTTGTAGATTTGACAACAGCACAGGGGGAGACCCTTGTAGTAAATAAAGTCACCCTTTCAACAAGCAGGAGTAGTGTGTTTCTGCAGGCACTGCGAGATGCAGAGAACAGAACACAGCCCTGTTACCCTCCACCCCTAACCAAGACGAGAAAGAGTTTCAGAGCACACACCAAGCTACCAGCGACTTACTGGTGTGAGAGCCAGGAATGAACCACAAGCAGCCGTTCTCCTGCGTGGCATCCTCCAGGGCAATCCAGAACCCCAGGACTCTGCCCAGAGGCTCTGTGTGCAGGAAGGTGGCATCCTGGTGCGGCGTCACTGCCATGAGATACAGTCGTTAGGGACTTCTGATGCCTGAGGAATTCAGTACCCCCAGAACAGCAGGTTTGTTCCCCCGAGTTGATCTGACCTACTCTGCCCACCTATCTGTTGTACAGATTAAATCTTACATAAAAATGCCACCTTTCAGCCTATTGCAAAATGTAAAAAGTAGCTCTTTGTTCAAGTTGCATGGGATATAGAAACATTTCTGGAAAATATGGATGCTTTTTTATAATTTTAAGGTTTGGGCCACAAAACTCACAGGCTTAAGTCTGATTCTGAGCCTTTTTCCTGGTAATACTCCTTTTCTAAATGAGTATTATGTACAGTGATAAAGAGATAACACGAATCTCACCTTCACCACCAATGCCAGGTTGCTGCAAGGAAAGAAAGTTGATGTGTGGAAAAAAGTGCTTCACAGCTACCCACGTAACAGGGTCTTATTTCCTGAGTGACAATACAACTTGAATTACTGTACCTTGAAGATATACATGCTTTGCACAACTACTGGTCTCTCAAGGCCTAGTTTTCTTCCCAATTCCTGCAAGAAAACTTTCCAAGATTTATGTTTGTTGTTCTGCACACTATAAAGCATTATTCTTTGAAGATATTTAAATTTCCTTTTACAGACAAAATTACTACCCTTGGGAGTCTAGAAAATTAACTGTGCTCCACAAGGAGATGTTTTTTTCCTCAGACTATTCTAGGAATCAGTAACAGCTCACCTGCACCTTGGAGGAGTGGGTGATTTGCTTGAAGACAGGATCACAAGCATGTAAAGCTAAGGGGAAAGAAGAGGCTCTGACTGAAGACTTCACTAACAGAAGAGAACTTGGCACCTCTCAGTGATAAACTGCAGAGACAACAGCCAAGCAAGATAAATTGCAGCCAGAAAAACTTTCATCCCTCCCAAGAGTGGATATACATGGCTTAGCATGCCTAAGGTGATACAACACTTGTAGATTTGTACAATCTTCTTTAGAGACCAAAAATATAATCACTCACTGGCCACAAACTGCAACTGTATAAAAAAATAGCATACAACAGAGTGAACAAAAATTGAGTATTATGTGATTGTCTCATGCAAACTCTAACAGAACCACCACAATACATGACCCTAAGGCACAGAGGTGAATTCATCCTTTAACACCACAGTTCTAGAGACCTACCAGAAAAAGTAATCACTGCAAAAATGAGCTAGGGCTTCTTTTTGGTGCCCTTTGCAGAGAACCACAGCCCAGAGGTCAGAGCTGGTTGCATGCAGACACTCGCTACAGCCCAGCTCTCACAAAACCATAGAGCAAAGACTTGGAATCGTGCCTCCATCTCATCGCCATCGAAGCTGCCACGAGGACACACGACTGGGTCCAGCAGGGGCTGCTCCTGAGCAAGGGATGAGGCAAGACTCGACCGAAAGGAGTAATTACAAAAAAAGTCTAAAGAAGCCCTTTGAATTGTTAAGCTGCTGAGTCAGCAGGCACTTAAAGTCGTTTTCACTTCCCTTGGAAAAAAAGGTGAAGTATAACAGAATGACAGGGGGACTGGGAGGGTGAAAGTGGTTCTGAGAAAACCAGAGAACCCAGAACTCTCAATACTGAATTTCCAAGTTAGTGAAGTTCAATCTGAACAAAGTTCATGTGTTTGGAGACAGAGTGAACCCTGCTCTCCTTTTCCATGTATTGTTTGAAAACAAAAGGGATCAAAACACAAGTTTGGTAGCTGAAAGAGAGGAAATAGGTCAAACTGAAACCAGTAAGGGTACAGAAAAGGTGCTGGTGACACCAAAGGAGGGCGGACAGCTTCTGTGTTGGCAACCCACCACTGCACAGGGCACAGGCACAGCTTGAGCTGTACTGAATGTGCCCAGTCTTAGGCAGTAAATCAGAGCAATCTCTTACATAAAAGAGACAAGGGCTGAAGTCCAAACTTTCACGTATCAGTGACTCGGCGCTATGCATATCTGAAGCCTCCTAGAAGGGTTTTTTTTGAAAAGGATCATAATGGAAGATTTTTAAGTCCTTTGACAGCAGAGTGAGGGGCAGCACAAGTGAGAGACACATGGGGAAAAGCAAACTGACATGTAGAAATCCAGTTGAAGAATTTAATGCAGCAGCCAAGAGTAAAACAGCCCAGGGTTGTAAAGGCAGGGGTTGTGTGGCCACAATGGCAAGAGGGGGTGAGGTTTGCAATATTTGATGCAGTTGTCCCCAAGAGGCACAGAGAAGCAATAGAAGAGGGAAGTTGCTTCTCTGCTCAGAAAGGTTTCAAGTCAAATGGCCAAGGTTATTTATAGCAAGTCTGGAGAAATCTTCATGCCTGAAAACCACATCCCTTTTTTGCATGACTCTCAAAACCCCTCCCTTTAAACATACCGTGGCCAATCTTGCTGACTGATTTCTCCTTTGGAATTAGGAAGTTACCTATGAAACAAAACCAGAATTTAACATTGTTTGCAAAGCAGGAATTGCCCCTAGAGCTGGAAACTGGCCCCTGACCCCTCACTCAGCCTTCTCCTGTCCCCTCCCTGTGGCTAACTCAGGCCAGGACTTACCTTTCTCATCCAAAACACCTTTCTCAAAGAAGAATCTAATCTTGTCTCCACTGGTTAGGAAATAATCCGAGCTACCCTGCCAGGAGTAAGAGCCCAGTAAAGACAGTATCCTTGTAAAAACATAAATGAACTTTCAATCAAAGTGTTAACACTCACCTGCATCTTTTTCCCCATCAAGCCGCAGCATAAACAGAACAGAGTCAATAGAAATCGCTCATAAATAGGCTTTCCATAGGGCTAAGTGTCTTGGCATTGATTAGGACTTTACAAGAACCTCTCACATGGAGGCTACCCTTGCTTTTAGTTTGCTGGCTGCCTGGAAAATAACCTATTTTCTGTCTGCAGGAAAAGTACAAAGTGACCTGTGAGAGCTGTTTGTGGCTACCAGGGCAACAGCTGTGGGGGCTGAAAGCACAGCAGAGCCACACGTGGCTTCTCCTCCTTCACCCTCTGAAAAGACCACCACCAAGCATTTGTAGAAAGCTGGAGAGCAAATCCCGCTCCCGGCATTAATGTTCAGTTAGGAGAACGAGTCACGTTCCCCCAGAGTGAATCCTGAACAGCAATTTGCGTTTTCCCTTTCCCCTTCCAGCACCCCGATGGGGACAGCCTTGCGCCTCTCAGTACCTGCGCCTGGAGCTGCTCATCTTCCTTGGTGGAGAACTCGGTGCGACAGTGCGGTGGCACTTCCATCTCCGCTACGATTTTCTGAATCTGATTCCTCATGCTGTCACACTCCTCTGCAGTGAAAAAGTGTTCTAGGACAAGGAAACCATCCTCGCGGAACTGGAAGAGACAGGGTGACTGCTCTCCTCCAAAGTCCTCGGGGGAGCAGCACAAAGCAAGAGAAAACAGTTCTGACCCTTTGCTGTGCCTCAGCTCAGTGTGAGAGGCACCCCAGCTTCAGCTCTGCAGCTGGACAACATGCTCATAATTCTTAATTTCAGGAAGGGTTTATACTCTAAAAAGATAGTTTGTTAACAGGCTCAGATTTCATTCAGTTATGACATACCTCAACCTCTCGGTCCACAAAGCAAAGATATCATCGCTAAAGCCTCTGTGGTTTAAGGATATCTTACCTAAGATACACAACCAGCAACTATTAAGTTACAAACCCTGCTAACATGAACAGAGCAGTCATACCTGCACACCGAATAAGAATGAGATTCCTTTACAAGACGAAAAGGGTTGTTTTCTCTAAGGGAAAAACTCCTGGGTGATGTCTCACAGATAACTACACAATCCCTTACAAAATGAAGTGAACTCTGTTGGCACTACTGTTTCTTTATATAGAATACCCTGGAGATTATCCTTCGACAGGCAGATTTCGAGTTCACGGATGAGACCTGAGCAGCGGAGACAGAAGGGCACGAGAGAAATTCCTCCAAGAGCTCTACAGAGCAAGTTGCCCGATGGAAGACTTCGTAGCCACAACGGGGTCCTCACACACACACAAAATGAATGTAATGCAAGAAGCTGAGAAGAATATAGTGTTTGTAAAGCAGATCTTCACCAGAGGTGACTACAGGTTAACTAGTAGTGACCATATCTCACAAGCAGCGTTACCAGCTGCGCTACAGACAGGCTCCTTCCCCAGAGGGCAGTTCCTTACCTTTCGGATCTGATGCTGGGTTACAAACGCCATCGGGGCAGAGGCTCCCAGGATCCCACCAGCAGCACCAGAAGCCACCCAGGCTCTGCAGGGCTGACTCCCCGCCTCTTCACGTGATCCTGAGCACCGTGATAACAAGTAGTGCTGGGCAAGCGAACTGTTGCGCAGCCAGCAGAGCTGCCTCACGAGGAATTGTCCCCAACTCTGGCCATTTGTTCCTGGCAGGGACACTCAGGGCTGCAAAGTTCTGCTTTGGCTCTTGGTGTTAACAAAGCACACAAAAACGTTCTGCTCGGGTGTGAACACAAAATTGATTCACTTCTTAAATCAAAGGAGAAATCACTGCTTTAATTAATAACCCAGATTAAAAAAAACCCAAACAAAACAACCAAAACAAAAAACCCCAGAGCAGTTAAAATGGTAAACAGTGGGAAAATAAGATAAGGAAGGTAAAATAAAATTCAATGAGGATGAAAAGATCTAACAGCTTTGAAACAAATTTAAAGTGGCAATTCATGCTCCTACAGAGCCCTTTACGCTGTCAGCGAGCCCTGCCGGTGCTTCAGCACCTGAAAGGGGCTCCAGCAACCCATGAGATGACAAATGTCAGACTAAAGGGTGTTAAAGCTAAAAAGCTTTCACTAAGGATTTGGGAAAATTCATAGAGCTGTTATTTTCAATCACAGCTGCTCTTTGGCGATGTACAGCTTCACTTGCTCCGTTCACTCTCCTGCAGCTCCAAACGTGCATGTAAATAGATAAACCCAAAGCCACAGTTCAAACCAGAGGGAGAAATGCAAAAAGTAGATCTAAAAGGCAGAAGAGAGTGAAGAACAGACGCTAGCCCAGCGGTGGCGCTCCCCACCAACACATCCTTCCCACTGCACTGGAATCCCAGGGGCAGATTTTTCTCTCCAGAGAAGTGTTTGGCTCTTGCAGAAAACACTGAAAAGATCCTTTCAGCCAGACTTCACGAAGTAACATCGTGGGGGCGGTTTTATGCATCACTCACCTAGCCAAAAGAAAACTCAGCAGAATGAAGGAGTGCAAAGTGCTCATGGGACGGTGGTCACTTCCAAATATATTTGCTAGCAACTGAAAATCCATCTTAAGAGATGGGGGGGAGGAATGTCTGCTAGTCTGTAAGGGAACCCACTCTAAAGAAAAATCTCTCATCTTTTTTTATTAAAAAGGAAATTCAGTGTTTTCACTGGAAAACCTCTCTTTGTGAGCATTTACAGTTTCTTTTCAAACTGTTCCCTGCACAGAATTGGATACGAATTCAGTAGCTTAAAAAGCTAAATTCATACACACTGGTACACACTCCTGTGCCACTCCTCCGGGCTCTGCGTTACCTCCATCAGCTGTCATGTCGTGTACTTCTCATTCCCAGTCTTTTTTTACCAGCAATTTAGTACGTCATCTTCTCCACTCCCCACCTTACGCACACATGATGACTTCAGAAGCTGTTTCAGTTCATATGCATGACAGTAAACCGCAGTTTTCCTGTTGTGTGGATTGTTTTGAGCAATATAACCAGCAGATCGCAGCACACAACACAGCAAGTACCAGAGAATAACTGACTGCATAAACTAGGAGAGGCATCTTGGTTACAGCATCAATCATCAGCATCTGTTCTTAGGATCCCTCCAGTTCTTTGTTGCTCCAGGCATCCTCCTATTTTGAGGCTTAGAAAACTTTTTCTGCAAGAGGAAAACCACCCCCACCACATAATGCCCCCAAAAAAAGGTCAAAGAGAAGGATGTCATCTTTGTAAATACCTTCCAGTAAGTTTAAATAAGGAAGGCAGAAAGGACAAAACTGGGAAATTACCCCCTTTTTCCTCTCCTGCCTCCCCCTCGGAGAGCTCTTTTGCAGACTATTAAAGAACATTTTCTCTTGCCAACTCCACGAGAAAACTGCACTTCTGGTAAACTCCATTGGAGGCTGCCAAAGCCCATCCCATGTCTGTACCAAAGGTACAGGAGCAAGTGGCATCTGGAACATGGACAACCCTGCAGCAGACAAAGCACAAGTGTTTCAAAGGCCTTTCTGACTGGCACAATTATCCTAATTTCCTCCTCAATAAGAGTTTCTCTTGAAACTATTTGGAGCCAAGCCAGCTTGCCAGTTCTCCAGAGCTTAGCACTCCAACCAAAACTGCTGCTGTTGGAGCTGCCAGGGTTATTGGGCAAGCAAAAATTTCAGCTTGATTTCTTATCACCTCTCCTCAAGTTATTCCATATGATCAGCAACAAGTGACAGAATATTTATTGAGAAACAAAGAGCACAGGAACAATAACCAGAAAGTCTATTTAAATTGTATATTAGTTTGTAAAATGGCATAGATACTTGAATACTTTTGTTTTCCCCTGTATTGGCATTCCATTCTTTCCAAGTTATCAGAAGCCTCAGAGATGCAGTAATTTTCCATCAAGAGAATTCTCATTAGCATCAACAGGTAAAAACAAGATTGTTACTTGCTTTGAAAATCAACAAGGTAAAAAGCTTAGGGTGTGATAGGGCAAGAGGATTTTTCAAGAATAAAACCAATATACTCCCAGCTGCCTCTGTTGAATCTTTACTCTATGGTTTTAAGTGAGTTACATAGAAAAATTGGAATCATCAGGATTAGCAGTCTTTTTCCAAAGACAGATCAGTTCTTTACCCTTGGATTCTTTCCCCATCACTGTACTAGTCCTGCAGGAATCCAGCAAGCACCAGTTTTCTTTGATGATACCTTTCATTCTTTCCTTTTGCTCAGCTATTCAAAGAGCTGGTAAATCCTTGCCAAAAGGAACTGCAGTACAAGAGAATCTTAAATGCCAAGGAGCATTTTGTCCTCTCCTTTCTTAGTTTAGTCCTGCTAAGCATTTCATTAAAAAAAACTCATCAGTGCCAATAAGCAGCATCAGAGCCCACAACCTTTCACCTGTTTCACAGCCTGCTCCCATTTTGTCACTGGAGTGAGGCCAATGTCACTGTAGTCAAGTAGTCTGGGACAAAGGAAGCCAGGGAAGGCAAAACACAAGAGAAATACCTTTCCATACAATAAATGAGCTGCACAAACTCAAACTGGTTTTGAAAGTTACAGGCTGAGTCTTTGTAACACATCATGAAAGTGCTCACTTAGGAAAGATGCTATCTGCCAGCATTTTCAGTTGAAAGAGTAGTGCGTGGGGTAGGCAGACAGCTAGGAAACACACACTTTGTTACCAGCCGTTGACTGAAGACACTGTTTCTACGGCAACAGGCAGTTTTCTCCATTGACTTCAGTCCCTATCCCCTTCCTAGGGACCAAGAGCACAATCTGCATTTTGAAAACCCAACTGAGTTTCTATAGGTCTATGTAGACAGTACTCCCAACAGTCCTGTATTTGGCAATGAAACTCTTTCAGCTATTTGTTGAAGTGATGGTGAAATCAGTAAAGCAGTCCAGGCTTGTCGCTGAGCAGGACCTCTTTTGCTGTACATCTACTTTTTGCTTATTCATAAAGGAATGTCATAATCCACAAGGACTCATGTGATGAGTAAAAAAACCCAATAATCCTACACAACAGCTGGAATTATTAACATCGATCTTGCTTTTCAGAAGACAGAAGTGCCTCTGCATACAGAAGAATTAAAAAAAGCAGACATAAAAGGAGAATGCAAATTAAAAATTAAAACTTTTATTCTGTTAAAGTGTCCAGTCTTACAAGTCTTTCAGAGAAAACAATAGCAGCCTTCAGTGCTTAAGGTGGAGGTGCTGTTGATCAGCTGCCCAAACAATCCCACATACAAAGTGAATGTCATGATTCTGAAATGTTACATCAAGTTGCAGGTCTCAGATGCCAAACCACAACCCTGCTCGTGCATTTACAAAGTGGGAGTGAACAATGTTTAAGCCATGAGTAGTGTCGTAAATGGACACATTTGTCAGCTGTAAAAGATGACTCAGGCTCATTAGCCCCCTTCTCATTAAATCTCCTATAGAAACATTTCCCCCATTGTTCAATAAAATTCCTTTAAAGGAGACAGAGGGAGGAAGGGAAGGGTAATTCCAGAAATCCTAAATTAAGTCAGTCTTTGTGTGAATTTCCAGAAAGTTCATCTTTACTACTGGGGTCCAGCAATTCACGTACAGCTACTTTTGAAAAGGGATTTCAGGGGTAAGATTTCTGGAGAATTTCGTATTTCCAAAGCAGTTGAATATTAACCTACCACTGCAGCTGAAGGGATGGAGGGAGAAAAGTCTGAGTCAAACAATACTCTTGTCCAGTTCCAGTTCTGCTTCATGCACTATTAGAATGCAGGTAAGACAGAAAACTCAACTCTGTTTTGGCACATGCTTAGTAAAACTACAGGATCCACTGTGTGGCCAGACAGCGGAGGGGGGGAAAAAAAAAAATTTCCTTTTCAAAAGTGAAGTTTAAGCAATAGTTTTACTAGTTAGCATTCACACAGCCTTACCTTAGGTAACATTTCAGAGTAGATGACTCTATGGTATGACAATATTGTTTGTCAGTGAGAAGTCACGCCAAGAGTTAAGAAATCTCTCCATGGTTGAAAGAAAAAGAATCAGAGGGAACAGCTGGCTTCAGGCAGAGACTATTAAAAACACACTTGAAGGAACAAGTGCCTCTGTGGAGAAGTTACATTAATATATCTCTAGAGAAGGCACAGCTATTAATGAGGAAAAAAAGAGAAAGTTATTCTTCCCCTGAAGGAGGACTAAAAAAAAAAAAAAATCCCAAGAGCTCAAACCATGCAAGTCCCTTCCCAAAGCAGAAAAAAGGTAAGGAAAGGAAACAATGTCACAGATGTTGAATTGATAATATTTGAAGTTTTTTTCCATACACATCATTTGTAAAGGATGTGTTATTGTTCTCAAAATTCCTAGAATAATTTGTTAGAGAGGAAAAAAAAAACAAACAACCAAACAGGATTTCACTGTGGTTCAGCAACAGAAAGCCACTTAATACTATTTATGGTAATGAACA